ATTTGTATTCTGAAACCTTCTACTAAACACTTTGTCAACTAGATTCTTAAACACATTAAAACACAACATTTTAAACCCTTTCTCATCAGATCACTGTATGTGTAATCCAACCTCTTACATGTGTAATTTCATGTCATTTTTCAATGAACACGTGATAAATTAAATATTAAGAAAATAGAAAAAACAAATATTTAACTTTTGGAAATTTTTAAATAGCCATGTTCTTCAACCTCCAGATCACAATTTGAGCACCAAATTCATGTCAAATAGATGAAACTTTTCTTTATTTGACTTGAAATTTCAACTAGAAGTTCATAAACACAAATCCTACTAGCCACAATCATAAATTTGAATTAATTTTACAAATTCATAAGACCCATTTGTTGTTCTTCAAGTTTTCTCAAACTTATCAATGGAGTTTTCAACTTTTTTAATACCCACCATCAATCTTTACGTTAATCCATATCATACCTCTTCTTTAAATTCAACACAAATAATGATTTCAACTTTTAAAATAAAAAACACTAAATAATTAGATAAAGGGGGCTGGAAAAAAAATTAGGAGCGGGATTTGATTTGTTGCAAAGAGGAGAGTGGGTTGAAGAAGAAGAAAAAAAAAGTATATGACGGGTGATTTCGGAAAAAATAAATGGATAAAGAAAAAAAAAGAGAATGGATGTGGTGGGTTATTTTGTTGCAGAAGAAGAGAAGAAAGAGTGGGAAGAGTGGTGGAGAAGAAGAGAAATTGGTGTGGGGGTGGGGTGGAGAGGGTTAATGAAGAAATAATTTTTTTTAATTAAAAAAAACTAATGTTTTTAAATAGGAAATAGTGTATTGACGCGTTTGGAAGCGAGTGCATTTACACATTTTTCCAACTTAGCAATATTTATGTCACATAGGTTTGGTCAATGGTCAACGGGTTTCAAATATTGTATTTTAATAAGTTTAAGGGTCCAGTTGATAAAGTATAAAGTAAGAGGGTTCAGAATACAAACTCATACATGTATAAGAGTCCATTAAACCATTTCGTCTTTATTTATTAAAGCAAAATTTTTTTAGAGCATTTATAATAAATTTTCCGAGAAAATAAGTGAAAGAAATAAAGTTGACTATCAAAATAATGAATTCAAATTAGTCGATGAATAAAAATAATCAAAAGAAAAAAAATGTTTGAGAAGGATCAATATAGCCTAATATGAATTATCTCATTTTTAATAAAAAAATTAAAATTTATTTCTTTCACGGTAAAGTATATATAAGCTCTAAATAAAAAAATTGTGAAATATTATACGTGAATATTTTTATTTGACATTTTAGCCGCAAAAGGACGAGGAAAGAAGAGAGAGAAAACAATTGCATACGAATAAGGAATAAAACGCATTGGTGAAATGCGATTTATGAAGAACATCAATACAAGTGTTTTGCACCTTCTCCGTTACCTATATTGGATTTTTATTATTACTTTATTGTAATGTAGTTTTTATTAAAACTTATTCATAACTAATTTTAAATATCTTATATGTGTTTTTATTAAAACTTATTTATAAATTATTTTTATAATTAATTTTAAATATCTTATATGTGTTTTTATTAAAACTTATTTATAATTTATTTTTATAATTAATCCTAAATATTTTATATGTGTTTTTATTAAAATTTATTTATAAAAGCAAAAATGTTCAAGACTAGAACATTTATTTTATTGGTCTTATGTGTATGAGTGTCGGTGACAATTCTTGGTGGTCACTGTTTTCTTTACCAATATTAATACTCTTATTATAATAATTACTAGGGGTGGTCACTGCTTAGATAAAAACCGAAAAATATACCCTAATATGAAATATCTATAAAAAATAAAAAATTATTTTCACTGTAAAGTATATATAAGCTCTAAATAACAGAATTACGAAATATTATAAGTAAATATTTTTATTTCACATTTTAACCGCGGAAGGAAGAAAAAAGAAGAGAGAGAAAACAATTGCATCCGAATAAGGCATAAAAGGCATTCATGGAAAGCGATTTATGAAGAACATCAGTAGTGGAGTTTTGCACCTTCTCCTTTACCAATATTAATACTCTTATTATAATAATAATAATAATAATAATAATACAATAATAATAATAATAATTAGGGATTGTCACGTTTTAGATGAAAAATTCCTTCAAACTGAAAAATTAAACCAAATCGATTTGTGTTTTATTTGGTTTGGTTTTAGATGTTTAAAAATAAATAGTATTTGGTTTGAGTCTGATTTTGTTTAGATAATCGAAGAAACAATCAAACCGAACTGACAAATATATATATATGAGTTTGAGTGTGGCATATTGATATTGGCAACAAGAGTATGATATCTCCTCAACTTTTAGAGTTGATATAACCCTCGTTACAAAAGTGGCTCAATATATCCTTACTGTTACAAAAAAATGACTCACATATACCATTATCGTTACAAAAGTTGCTCACATAATATATCCCTCCCGTTATAAAAGTGATTTTTTTGAATTATTTTTAAAAATATATGTATTTGATCTTTTTCACAAAAAATATTTTCTAACTTCTTTGCTATTTATTGTTTGAGTTTTTTGTTTTTATTTTATTTTTTCTTTCATTGTTTAGTGGAAGAGATATAAAAAAGTGTGAATGGAAAAAGATTAAAAGTTTGAATTTTTTTTTTTTTTTTTTTGGGGCTATATTGTAATTTAGTTTTGATATCTATATAAAAAAAATATTTGGGGCATCTATAATAAATTTTACAAGAAAATAAGTGAAAGAAATAAATTTTACTATTAAAATTATAAATTCAAATTAGTCGACGAATTAAAATAGTCAAAAGAAGAAAAAAACGCGTGAGAAGGATCAATATACCCTAATATGAATTATTATTTTTTAATAAAAAAAATTAAAATTATTTTCACGGTAAAGTATATATAAGCTCTAAATAACAAAATTGTGAAATATTATAAGTACATATTTTTATTTCACATTTTAGCAGCAGAATGGAAGAGAAAAGAAGAGAGAGAAAATAGTTGCATCCGGATAAGGCATAAAACTCATTCATTGAATGTGATTTATGAAGAACATCAATAGTGGAGTTTTGAGCCTTTTCCTTTACCAATGTTAGTACTCTTATTATTATAATAATAATAACTAGGGGTGGTCACTGTTTAGATTAATACCGATTAAGTAAATCGATTTTATTTGGGTTTGATTTGGTTTAGTTTTAGATTTTAAAAAATTTATAATATTTGATTTGATTTTGATTATGTTAAGAAGAATCAAACCGAACCAAAAAAATAAAAATAAAAAAAATAAAAATAAAATATATATATTAGTTATTGTTATTATTATTATTATTATTATTATTATTATTATTATGTACTCTTTATAGATAATGCTGGTTTCAATTTTAGAATGCAAATGGATGATGCAAAGAGTGAAGATTTTAAAAATTAAATTAGAACAAAAAAAAATAACATGAAAACAAGTCAAAAATATATATTAGAAAATAAAAGAAATTTTCTTTTAATAAAAATGATAAGCTCTGCATCCAAGTGTCATTTACTGATCAATGAAGTGAACTAAGAATATAAGATATCATGTTTAAATAATAGCAGAGATAAAAATACTAGATGATATCATATATCTTAACTTTACCATATATAATTTACTACTAATATTTATTGCTAGTGGACAGTAGGTCATAGAATTAATTAAGATATGTGAAATGATGTGCTTAATTAATTACTAATTCCGTCCACTTTTAATTTTTATGATTATTTTTTAAAGTCAAACTATAAGAACTTTGTATAATGTATATTTTCATCATATTGACATGCAAAGAAATTACAATTTATAGTACTTTTCGTATAGTTTTTGAATATCTAATTTTTTTGTTTAAAATATCAAATTAATGTAATCTAATTTAACTTTAAAAATTAGTCAAATTGACTTTCAAAAATCGAAACATGACAATTAAAAATGAACAAAAGAAGTATTAAAAATGGTCAGGTAGAGTCATTTTTATAACATTCTTCATCTCATAGACATAATTATCTCAAATATTTTATCATACATTTAATTAAGAGTTTTTTAATTTACTCAATAATTTAATTATAAAACTAGCGAAGTTTATTAATTTTAATGAAGCTATGGAGTCTTGATTCAATGACAATTCAGAATAAATAATTAAGAGTCATTTGGAAGCTGATTTGGAGAATGAAAATAGGTTACAAGTACTAATCCTATATACTCTCATCATTTTTAATTATCCTGTTGCACTTTTCAAAAGTCAATTTAACTAATTTTCAAAGTTAAATTAGATTACATTAATTCGATATGTTGAACAAAAAATTTAGATTTCAAAAACTATACGAAAAATACTATAAATTTCAACTTTTTACATATCAATATGATGAAAAAATACATCGCAAAATGTTTGTCAAAATTCTTATGGTTTGAATTTTAAAAACAAAATCATGACAATTAAAAATGGACGAGGATAGTAATTAACATCATTTTTGGTAGATGGTTGGAAGGTAAGTAAGTTATTCACGTATAAAATCAATATGATATTTAATTTGTAATTTAGAATCCACATTTATATATTGTTTTATATATAAAAGATGAAATAACTAATACATAAATAACGTAATAATACATAACTTTTCTCGTAACCAATTTTTACATTCGAAATATTTGAATAACTCTAACCAGCTAGTAAATAACCCTTCTCATTTGATATGAGAGATGTCAAATTTAATTTAAGAATAAACTTATTTTATATTTGATTGGAATAAAATTTAGAATTAACTTATTTCAAAATTATAATATTATTTTTAATAACTTATTTTTCAATCAAACGCGTCGTTGTCATGAACCTGATTGGCGTACCAAATTAGGACATGTGAAACGCAGTTCCTCAAACAAACACGCCTCTGTCAAGGATCATCGTGCCACGACAGCACCATTTCGTTTTCTTCTTCTTCTATCCCTTTCTGGACATAAAAATGTTCATCTCTATGCAAAGCTAAAAAAAATATACTAGCAGTGTTTGGTGTGTCAAAGAAATGGAGTGCAGCAGCAGAAGTTCCAATTTTCCTTCTGATTTGGAGTACCAAACAGGATTTGGGAATCATTTTTCATCTGAAGCTATAGTTGGAACTCTACCTCAAGGTCAAAATAGTCCTCTTATTTGCCCCTTTGGACTTTATGCTGAGCAGATCTCTGGCACCTCTTTTACTTCCCCTCGCAAACTTAATCAACGCAGGTAGATACCTTCATTTGCTTACTTACCTGATCTAACAAGTAGGTGACTGTAACTAAGTCTGTTGGAGAATCCGCCTAATCATCTGGTTTGCTAATTCTGAATTGGGCATATTGTTCAAAGTCATTGTAGCTTAATTAGTTAGGCATTTGGATAATATAATCTTTGGTGCAAGGGATAAAGAATAAATAGTCCTGGCATAAACAAAAAATAGTCCGGGATAAGAGTTTGGTGTCTTGTTTGGTTGCCATGTTTGGGATAACTTATCCATCATTTTCCCACCATTTATACCATAGTGATGGGATAAGTTATCGCATGTATATGGTGGGATAAGTTATCCCAGAATAATTAATCTAGAATAACTTGTTCCCGACCAAACGACATATTAGGAAGTGTTTTGATTGGATGTGAAATTCATAAGTTTTTCGATATTTTGTAAATATTTCAGATAATGAAACTGATTGCCTAACTTCAGTGACTTTGGCCATTTCCAGAAATGAACAGTTTTCACTCTTCCATATAAAAAATGTGTTAGCTAATTAAAATGAGACTTTTTTCTTTCTTTTGTTAATGGATTTTGAGGATTTGATTAATGATCATTTAGGATTGAGGTGTAATTGATGGATAGGTTGGTTATGTTACTGAAGGAATCTTTTGTTTGTGCAGTTGGTTATATCGTATTAAGCCATCGGTTACTCATGAACCATTTAGACCAAGAATGCCAAGACATGAAAAGCTTGTGAGTGAATTCAACCAGTCAAACAGTTCTGCTACACCAACTCAACTAAGGTGGAAGCCTGTCGAGATCCCAGAAACACCGACTGATTTCATTGATGGTTTGTATACTATATGCGGAGCTGGCAGCTCATATCTCCGACATGGTTTTGCAATTCACATGTAATTGGTATTTCAATCTTGCTTCTAGTATTGTCATTACCACGTCCTTCTGATGGAGTTCGGGATATAGCTGTTGCTTTCTTGTTTATGTTTTGTTCTTGTTAAATTATAATTAGGATTAAGATTTGTTATGCTTTGGATATAAACATTGGCTTCAAATTCTGTTGCTATTTGCTTTCAAGCTGAGAGTATATCGTATCTCCTTAACATCATGGACTATAAATCTGCTAAAATGAATTTCTCTTGTGAGACAATGATGTGTATTGAATATCAACTCAGCACAACACCTATTACAAAGTTCAGTAGAAGTGATAATGTGTGTTTTGTTGAAAATGCAGGTATACTGCCAACAAATCAATGGAGAACTCTGCCTTCTGCAATGCTGATGGTGACTTTCTGATTGTTCCTCAAAAAGGAAGTAAGTGTCAATCATTCAGGCGTCATCTGTCTGTTCATATTCAGTGTCAAATATTTTGACATGTGCTTTGAAACTCTTTCTTACTCTCTGTTTGTACTGTAGGGCTGTGGATTACTACTGAATGCGGAAGATTGCAGGTATGTCCTGGTGAAATTGTGATTTTGCCTCAAGGATATCGGTTTGCTGTTGACCTTCCAGATGGACCTTCACGTGGTTATGTCGCTGAAACTTTTGGAACTCATCTTCAACTTCCTGATCTGGGGCCTATAGGTGCTTTAGAAAGTGGAAAACTACTTGCTATTTAAACAACTGATGTTATTTGCTGATAATATGCATTTGAATATGTATTTAGGTGCAAATGGTCTGGCTGCTCCGAGGGATTTTCTTGTTCCTGTTGCCTGGTATGAAGATGGCTCCCGTCCAGGTTACACTATTGTGCAGAAGTATGGAGGTGAACTCTTCACTGCAAAGCAGGACTTCTCTCCTTTTAATGTGGTCGCTTGGCATGGCAATTATGTTCCTTATAAGGCGGGTATTTCTCTATATTTCAATCTCTCATAATATGAGTGCCTTGTGCACATTTTATCCAATTTACTTTGCTACATGGAAACTCGATGCTGTTTGTCTCCTTAGTCCCTGACGTAATATATTTCCTCAATTTGCAGTATGATTTAAGCAAGTTCTGCCCTTACAATACAGTATTGATGGACCACAGTGATCCTTCAATTAACACAGGTTGATTAGGTTTAAATATCAGCATTTCATCTATTAATTGCCATCAATCTGTGTGAATTTTGTTCTTATATTGTCGGTGTCGCTATTTACAATTGCTCTAGTTTCTTAAATCAATGCAGTTTTGACAGCACCAACAGATAAACCTGGTGTGGCGTTGCTTGACTTTGTCATTTTCCCTCCCCGGTGGTTGGTTGCTGAACACACCTTCCGTCCTCCATATTATCATCGCAATTGTATGAGCGAATTTATGGGTCTAATCTATGGGGGATACGAGGTTGTTTATCTCGCTCTTGCATGAAGTCAATGTCAATTCTGGGGTTATTTCATACAATTTTTAACGCGGTTAAGCTTGTTTCAGGCAAAAGCTGATGGTTTTCATCCTGGCGGGGCAAGCCTTCACAGCTGCATGACTCCTCATGGTCCTGATACCAAAACATATGAGGTACAAGTACTGCTCTATTCCTCCCTTCTCTATGGCCATGTGTCTTTCCCCTTCCCACATATGCGGCTTTATTTATAAGGAAATTTGTGACTTTTAGTCCCTCAAATGTCAACAAAATTCTGATTTGGTCCTTTTGATTTCTGATAGAGCACATTTAATCATAAGTAATATGTGCCCTTTTGATCCTTCCACAAATTTAACGATTTCTTACGTACTAAACTATTTAATTGTTGATATGTTATCTTAAATTTGTATTGTTACTCCACATTTGAGGGCAAAATTGTAAAAAAAGGTATTGACAGGCAACCATTGCACTTGGAAATGAAGCTGGTCCACATAGAATAGCTGATACCATGGCTTTTATGTTTGAGTCTTGCCTAATACCCCGAGTCTGTCCGTGGGCACTTGAATCTCCGTTTATGGATCACGATTATTACCAATGCTGGATTGGCTTGAAGTCTCACTTCTCAGGACTATCTATGAACGAAGACAACGTTGATTTGCAGAAAGGAAAACCTATAGAAAGGTGAAATGCTCATTGTTCAGCTAGCTCCTGTAGTTCCGCCTAAAGTGACTTGGCTTGTACATAAGGAGTCACAGACATGTAAACCCTAAAATAAACCCTATGTTAGTATCGGATTGAAAGATTAGGGTGACAATCCAAGCGCGGATACAGTGGTAAGATGAAACCAATGTTCTATGAAATTACGACGTAAGTAGAAATGTGTTACCGTGATGATGTTGTAGACTTGTAGTTTATGGTGTATTTTGTATATATATATAAAGATGGAACTATCATGGAATACTTGTTGCAATTACAAGAGCAATAAATTATGATTTATGTGGCAATAGCTTACTCTTACTACTATTTAGTCAATGTTTGATATTAAGGGTGTGTTTTCAATATTATTATGTTTGGTTGGATCACAAGTTTTAAAAAATATTTTTTAATTGACTCATTTTCCTCAAATTTAAGGAAAATGATTTTCCTAGAGTGGATAATATTTTTCAAAACTCTGTTGCAACCTCACCACCAGGAAATCCTTATAGCTCAATTGGTTGACGGTCTAAACTCATACCTTATTGGTAAGAATTTTTTTTTTTTTTTTTTAATTTATTGATAAGTGTTTGATTCCCCATATTGTAAGCCCCTCTATTTCCACTTCCCTGCCCCATTTTAAAATAAAATAAAAACACCGCACTACAACCTTGACATGGGACCCAACTCCCAACCCTGATTCGACCCCAATCTGGAAATCAACTCCTAACACCGATCTATGACCTGACCTTGATGTCACCTCGTCTCTCGCCCCGATCCCAATTTGAAACTTGGAACCTGATTTTGAATTACAACTCTAACCTTAACCTAGTACCAAACTAGTAAATTGGATCCCAACTTCCAAAGTTGACCCAAGTTCCGACTTCCAACATCGACTCAGGTTGGAGTGCACTGATGGGAGTGCTTCACCCTTAACTAGAGGTTTCGGGTTCAAGCCCTAGATATGGAGAATATCCTGTTGGGAGCGCCACCCCCGAATGGGCCCTGCAGAGCGCAATCCGGATTTAGTCGGAGCTCCAATGTGGGCTCCGGACACCGAGTGGGAAACTAAAAAAAAAAAAACACCGATTCTAACTTATGATCCTACTCTCGACACCAACTCAGTACTCAATCCTCGTAAGGGAAGTGAGTCAGTGACTCCTAACCCCGACTTATGACTCAACATATGCCAACACCCAACTCTCGACCACGATCCCGACCTGGGACATACTCTAATCCCGAATTGAGACCTGACCCAGACTTAACATTGATTGAAGCAGCTGTTGGAGAGAAGGCACCAGTCAGACCTGCAAGCACATCTTAAAAATAAAAAAAAACAAACATAATACTAAAATCTAAATGATTAAGATTAGAACATTCTTTCTATTTAAATTTTGGACCCCAACATTTTATTTAAATTTCAAATAATATTCTTTTTTCCCGTCAACTTAAATATTGGTCCAAACATGTATTTTCAGTACCAAAGACCGAAACTCCTGCATTTCTCATGCGAAAAACAAGTACGTAAAATCCATTTTCAGAAAAACTCCAAAACTCTCCTACCGACCAACTCCGATGGCATCTATGGCCTTTACTGATTTTTTATTCAAACAAATAATGATTCAAATGAATAAATAATTAGTGACCGACTCTAATTTTCACTCTCAAAACAGTAAGATCTCTTCATAATCATGTTTTTGTAATTACTTTAGCACCATAATTACGAAAAATGTCTCTTAAAGTTTTTTTTCTCACTTTCATCATCCTACTGGTCTTCTCCGGCGCCGTTAACGGCCGCCGCTTCATCAGCGACTCCGGTGGACTAATTTCAGATGGAGTTCACAGTGAGATCGGTCGGGATTTGGAAATTCTCCGGCTGGATCGGGATTTCGCCGGTGGTGAGGAGGAGAGTTGTGAACAGAGTTATGGATTTCTACCTTGTACTAAAACTGCTCTCGGAAATGTTTTTCTCATTTTGGTTTATGGTTACCTTATGTTCCTTGGTGCTACGTATCTCTCTTCTGGTAGTGAACTGTTGCTTGAGATTTTAGGGCCTGGTATTATTGGTGGACTTTTTCTTCCTGTGCTTGGTGCTCTTCCGGATGCTATGCTTATTCTCGGTACGACTATTATAACAGTTCTCTGATTTTTTTTCACTAATTGATTAATTTGTTTTATCTGTTAGTAATTGTAGTATCATCCTAACCATGTCTCGAAGTCTGCATGCTGGATTTTGGGAGACACTAGTTTAAAACCTTATGAATATGATCCTTTGATCTTGAAGGGAAATAAATGATGTGAGTAGGAATCAATTCTCACTTGTTTTCAAGATCTAATATGTCGATTGAACTAATTAAAGGATTAGGGGACTGATGCAATCTTAGTTGATTAAGAAATAGTGTTTTACTATGAGTAAATTTCACTTTGTTTCGTTAGTAAAATGGGTTGAGAGTCCTGAAGTCTCAGCTTCAAATTCCAGTAGAGACAAAACACAATAGAGCAGTTTATGGAATTAGTATAGGTGCCCGAGATCTTACCTGGTATCTGTTGCGGGTGGGAGGTGACAGGTATCCTATGGAATTAGTGAGGTGCGCGAAAGTTGACCCTGATACCATGGTTATTAAAAAACAATAAATAAATAAATTTCACTTTGTCCCCTAGATTGCAGCATCTAATCCATGACTTCAGTCTACTAGCTAGTAGTAAGAGTGAAGCTTGTGATGTGTGGGTTAGGGGCACATCCTAGGTTTGAACCTTTCTGCGTACAAGGGCCTGGTATTAAGTAGAGAAGAGTAGGGGGGGGGGGGCATTATCCACGCTTCTAACCGTGCGCTATGGCCCTCGTGAGTTTCTCGGTTATTAAGAAAAATTTGTTAATGTGGATGCCTACTATATCAGTCAAAGACCATATGTTACAAGCTATAATGAACGTGTCCCAAGTTTCTTACTACTTTGAACTTCATTGTTTCAGTATCGGGGATATCTGGAAGTACTGCAGCTGCTCAGAGCCAGGTCTCTGTAGGAATGGGATTGCTAGCTGGGTCAACTGTGATGCTTATAACTATTATTTGGGGAACCTGTTGCATTGTTGGCAAGTGCGACATACAAAATTCTGTTGCTGTAGACATGAAAGACACTAGAGGATTCAGCTTGACGGGTTTGCATCTCAACTCTTAGAATATATATACAGAAACGTGTACAAGCTCCTTCTTGTTCTTTACTCCTTTTGTCTTTCCTGAAATATGTTGCTATAGATCCTTTTCGGCTTTATTTCACCCTCTGCCCTTGTTTGGATTAAATATGCTCTAGTCTTTGAAATCATTGGGCCACCAGGAGGATTTTTTGTACTTGTGCAAGTGATATTCCTGCTAGTATATGGCCAGATTTTATGTATCAAGATGCTTCTACTCAATGAGTGGCTGTCAATGTAGGTTCTGGTGTTAGTACTGACATCTGGACAAGCCATGCTGCAACGATAATGGCAGCGTCTGTAACACCATTTCTTGTTGTCCAATTGCCACAGCTCCTCCATTCAACTTCAGGAAGACATTTATCTGTCTTGATTGGTCTTATCATTTCACTTTCACTGCTTGTTTCTTATTGCGTCTATCAGGTACTGTGACATTGCTCATATGTTTTTTTCTTTTATTCACTGTGGGTAATCTAATTTTCTTTCAAACTGCAATGACATATCTGCAGAGATTTGCATTGACGACACTCTTTGGAGATAAATATCAATTTTTACAGTTTCTAGCTGAATTTTCAAATAGGCAATAACAACATTGCCTATGATTGACCGTGCTTTAAATAGTTTTTATCCCCACATATGCTGGATAATGGACTTTCCACATAACCGCCTGAGTTCAAATTGAACTTGTATCTGAAGACAACCTGATGACTCCTGTATACCTCTTCCTCTTCCAACAAGATGAAACAAATAAATATAAATCTTTGTCATTCTTTATACTAGGCTGGTTAATAAATTCACCTTTTTAGTGTTTGAGATCACGAGGCCTGTTTCTTATCTTCTATAATGAAGTCGTTCTGAACTTCTAACTTCTAATGCAGGTCTTTCAGCCTTGGATACAGAGTAGACGTCTTGCTTATGTAAAACATAAGCATGTTATATCAGGAGTTTTGAAACAGTTAAGAATGCGTGCATTGGGGAGGCTTTGCACAGACCAGGGAGCACCAAATATAGAAGTTTTAGAAAAGTAAGTTTGAAATGATTTCTGCACAGTTTTAATCGCTTTTAGAATCTTGATCAATATGATGAAGGATTGCATGACAGGCTATTCAAGGCAATTGATGAAGATGCGGATGGGTATCTTTCCTGCACTGAATTAAAAGCTCTGGTAGTAGGAATCCATTTGGAGGAGATAAACTTACATGAGAATGATGCTATAGAAAAACTGATGAAAGACTTCGATACTTCACATGATCATCAAGTTGAAATGTCCGAGTTCATTGCTGGAGTTACAAAATGGCTTACTGAGGCCCGGGGTTCTGAGGCTTCTTCTCCTGAAGCTGGTCCTGATACAATGAAGTACCTCGATGACTTGCATGAGGTTTGTTTGAGTGTTGTGACCTTTTCTAGATAGTTCATTGTTGTGGCGATAGTGATAAAATATAAACGTGCTTGCAGCAAACAAGGAGAGAACACCATTTCTTAGGGGATCAAAGTGACGAAAGTGTTGAGACTGTTGAGAATCCTCGATCAACTGTAATTAAGGCTGTTCTACTGCTGTTGCTGGGTACTGTCATTGCTGCCGTGTTTGCTGATCCTCTGGTTGATGCTGTCAATAATTTCTCTAGTGCCACAAGCATTCCTTCTTTCTTCATCTCATTCATTGCTCTGCCACTGGCGACCAACTCCAGTGAGGCGGTGTCAGCTATTATCTTTGCTAGTCGGAAAAAGTTGAGATCTGCGTCATTAACATTTTCTGAGGTTTGTTTTCCTCGAGCTTTGTGCTTTTATGTAGTATAATTTGTGGGTTTTCTACCCCTTGCATCAATGAACCTGGAAGATCATTAATGAAAATCAAGAGGCAGACTTGATC